GGGACCTACAGATTGTGATTCGAGCGTCTTAACCACCTGGCCATCCCAGGCCAATGAGCTATCTGTGCTCTGCCCACCATGGGTATCGAAACCCAGTTTCTAGCATTATAAGTACACAGACATACCACTGTGCCACTGGAGGGCATAATCATTTATAAAAAAAGAAATGCCTTTTTGCTGGAGGGAATGTTTTCTGATAATCTTGTATTTATTGTGGAGATGAACTATTGGTTCACAGTTGAACCAATTATGGGTGCTAAATGGTGAAAAACTTTTGGCCATCACTGGCTACTACATGGATGGTGAATGAGCGTCTCAGCTGGGATTAATTTCTTACAAATATTATAATTAATTTTAAGTTATTTTGAGAATACAGTAATTTTTGTGGACTAATTTGCCTAGTTTATGAAATTATCCTGAACCACGATAATAAACAGTAAAGATTCAGTTCAAACAACACTTTAAAACCTTTGCTATTGACTTGTAAGGCTGTACACATAAAAACATGCAAAAAAATTCATGCATGCATGTTAAACTTACAAGGAAAAGAAAATTCACTCAAAATAGCTCATTTGTAATTCTTCTTATTATTATTCTCTTTGCCACCCTTCATCAAAAACAGCTTGGTATGTTGCACCCAAACCTTTTGTAGAATACTAAATAAGGTACTATGAAGGTCATAGGGGTCATAGCTTTTTTTTACAAATATCTGGTGTTCCTGTAAAATGCTTAATTAAAGAGTGAAACAGGAATTACCAGTCAATAATAGATAAATATTAAGTGACTGTAACATGTAGATACTCAATACTTTGTACACTATACAACTGAGTCTTTAGGAAGCCAACCCCTATACTATGTATGAAGTGAAAGGCTAAAAAAAAAAGTATATTATATTAAATTTTATTACACACACATTCATAGAATAATTACTTTAAAAGACACAGAGCTTTATTTCAAGCGATGTTTTAGATGTATATGTTTTATTTGAAAAGGCTGCTTTTCTACTGGTATAATTTTATACGTGTTTTTGGGGTTGTGTCTTAGTCTAGGCATATATTTGTCCATTGCTATGCATTATATATAGAGAATTTAGCTACATATTCTCAAACAAATCTCCATGCAATCTCCAGCTACAGCTTTATATTTTACATCTCAAACTAATGCGATCAAGTAGTCAATAGCTGCAGTAAATCATCATGAACTGCATCAGCTAGTTACTAGTTATGTTTATTATCATTATAATGTATAAAGTTATTTACCATATCAAGTAATCATTTGTCCATAGTTGAACACAAAAAAGTCAGGAAACAAGATAAATAAAAGATTGGGAATTTAAAAACTTGTAAATAGGATCGTAAAAAAAAAGGTAAGGAAACAAGGCTGGAGATACTGTAGACATTATTTACTTGAACTACAAATCCCTATTTTGACTCTACCAAATGTAATTCTAGGTAACAGTAACATTATAAAAAGTGCTCAAATTTAGTTGTCCTTAGACCTTTGCTGAATTATTGCATTTTATGTAGTGGTAAGTAAGCAGGACTTGGCTTATTATATATTCATTACTGTTTCTAGTGTATAAAAATGGATTGGTTTGTTGCAATATATGAATGCAAAAATCTTGATCATGACATATGACATAATATATTGTATATATTGTCTAGTTTTATATTATTGTGATAAAGTATTTTTGATGATGAGAGAATTGTTTTTTCTTAGTATTTCTTCTATAAAACATGTATTACTTTCCATTGTAGAGATTGTATGTAGTTTTCACATGTTAAACTATTTGTTCAATTAAAAAAAAATCCTTCTTGCAACTGAAAATTGTTAATCATTTCAAAAAATGACTTGTGATTGATACATTTTCAAAATGAGATCTAAAACTCGAGTACTTTTGAATAGTTGACTATTCTTCTTCAGGAGAATAAAGAAGAATACTCAACTAGTCGAAAGTGCTAGAGTTTTGGGTCTCATTTTGAAAATATTACAACTTTTGTAGGTGATTTTGTGTGCTAACTACTTAACCTGATTGACATATTAGTATAAACAAGTTTTATAATCACAGATGGAGAAATTGAATACACTCACAAACGAAGCTTTGAAAGAAGCAAGTGATGCTTTTGACAGAGCTAAAAATGCTGAACGCCAGTCAGGAAATACATCAGCAGATATTGTAAATCTATTGAATCGAATTGAGGAGTTTCTTTCTGCCGAGGGAGCAAGGCCTGCAGAAATTAGAATCTTAGCTGAAGAGGTGAACATTTTTCTCCATGTTGACATGTGTTTATTTGTTATTGTTTTTGTTCATTAAATTGAAATGATGATTAACAAATGTCTGTTTTAAAATATTTACATTTGTTGATTACTTGTGCCTCTATATATATTCTCCCTCTTCACCTTCTAAAGGATACGTTTATGTCCAAGTTTTACAGTAAGTAAAAAAAATAATTTTAAAACATCATATGGAAGGCAATGCAAACGTTAAACTATCTAAAAAAATTTTTATATTGTACTTGTTCATAGAATTAGAATAATCCATAAGATATATTTGTTTATATAATTAAAAATGGTAATATTTATTTAAAGTACTTATTATGATCAAAACAAAATAGCATAAATGTTCACAAAATTTATTGTGAAACAATGTTTAATTTTCTACACTCAAAAGCTGATCTGATGAATCATTAATTTCCTGTGGTAAAACTCACTTTCTGAAAGCAAGTTTTTACAGATAACATAATTTGAAGAGTAGCAAAAAATATTTAAAATATGGGTTTGAATTGGATTCTTTGCATATAGTAAAAGTCCTATCATGAATTGTAACAAAGCTCAAGGGTTATTTTTCAAAACATAAAATTCATCTGTGAGTTTAGTTTAAAATCTCGTGATTTAAATTTTTTTAATTTCTTTCATTGCATAATTTTATTAAGGCAATAACTGTGTCACATTAAAAAATGCTTTCATGACAACCTATCTGATTTGTAGAGAAAATTTCAATTAAGGGAATTTTCAAATGCTCTGTGAATTGATACTAGCTGTTCAACTTATTGATATTTTTTCTTTTTAGATATTAGAGTTGGAATTTTAAGTTTATGAGCTTGAATTGCTGGTATACCACTACTTATTGTCATGAAACATAAATACTTTTAATTCTGTTTTAACTTAGTAACACAATTAAGTTATTGGCAAAACAATAACATTGTCCGATTTTGATCTCCATGTTTAATATTTATTAAGTTAGCTTTTAAATTATAATGGTTCCAGAAAGAGAGTTGAAAACTTGCTCAATGACTACAGAATGTTGAGATCAAGTCCTTATTGCATTATTTTTCATCAGATGCCTTTAGCCTTAAGTTCAAAAATAACAATTACTTATGGAGACTAATTATGACCTTGTGTGTGGTGTGGAGTAGTAGTGAATCAAACAGGTTTATAGTATTAGCAGTACTTATTACCAAAGTTAAATACATAGTTTTAAAGCATTTCAAACTGTTCTCATATTGCTTCTAACTTCATGAAGCTTAGAGCTAACTGATCAGTTGAATTAAACTGTTTAGTTGATAATTCCAAAGTTTGTCAGTTTTAATAAGAGCTATTACTACCACGTTCCAGTTAAAATAGGTAATTTTTGTTACTGTAAAATTAGTATTATTAATGAGAAATCATTCTTATTAAAAAACAAATATGTACAAGAACAATGTAAGTATTCTAGTGCAATGGTGCGTTACTGTACGTGTGAGCTGTGACAATTTTTAGCAACTATTTATTTGCTTTATTGCACATACTTATGACCATTCAACATTTTTCAGTGTCTGAGTCTTCAAATGTCTCTTGGTCCAGAAGAAATTGAAAACCTAGCACATGAAATCACTGAGATTGTTAAGAATCTGACCAATATTGATGCAATTTTAAATGACACAGCAAAAGATCGTAAACTAGCAAAAGATCTTGAAGATCGAGCAGTCAGTGCAAAGTGAGTTTTTTTATTATGTAGTTAACATGATGACATTAACAAATGATGATAAATTGTATTTGTTTTGTTTGTCCATTTGGGAAAGTTCAGTTTTATTTTGGATACTGGTATGGCTTTCTAAGTTCAATAAAAATATTAGGTCAATACAACTGAAAGTAAGATTTTAATGTTAAATTCTAGATTTAATATGACAAATTTATTGTTGCAAGTTGAATTGCATCTGTGTTTTCTCTCCTTTTTTAATTATTTAAGATATTTGAAGAGAATCGATACAATTAATATTTTTTGTTACTTTTATGATTATAAGAAGTACCAAATATGCAAGCAAACACTGTAGTCATCAAATGAAAGAACTGTTGGCTTTTCCTGAAATTTAAACCATTATTTTCAATACATCGATCAACTGGTTTGCGTCAGTACTGATTGTGTAAGTTATTTTCATAATAACCAAGCTTTACAAGGACATTTCCAAGTCCTAAACAAAAAAACACAGATTTGACCTATATTTGACCATATCTTACCTGAGTCTAGAAATATTTATTGCAGATATGAACTAACCCATCTATATCTGACTATATCCTTTCTATGTTTGACATTTACTCTAGATTAGAACTAAACCTTTAAAAAATTAGACATATCTGATGAAGGTGTGGCTGTGTTTATACTCAATCTGAAGAACATGGCTATAGCTTACCTGGGTTTGGTAACATGAATCCATATCTTGTCCAGATCAGGCAAACCTGACCTCATTTGTGTATTGATGACTTCAGACCCAGATGCATTCTGCCAATTATCTGTTTACTGCTATATCTGAATCACATTTGAGTTTTTTTTGTTTGTTAACCCTTTCACAACGGGTACCCCTGTAAACCTTTTTCTGCACAAGTCACTGTGTTACATTCAAAATTTAATTAAACACCTTTAATATAAATGTATATTAATGAAATTATTATAACATATATTATGATTCAAAGTTTTATGTTATCTAAGTTTTAAGTGCTTTATTTTAAAAGAAACCTTTAAAAACTACTTATGAACTTCAGATGTATTGTGATGTGGCCAAGGAGCTATGAAAATTCTCTACTTTGGCTCTCTGCATCTTCAGTAGTACAATGGTAGATGAGTATAGGTATGTCTACACAATAAGATGCTTACATATCCTTTTGACTCATTCAATTCAAAGTTTTCTGAATGAAACAAGTAATAATTATTTTCAACTCCTGACAGTTGCCATGCCCACCTTTAACAGATTTGCTACAGCTTTATAGTCTACATGTAGACTTTACATACACATGTGTATACTCATTAGAAATAGCTCATTGTCACTATAATCCAACAAGGGTTATTTTGAAATTAGTGCCAAGTTGTCACGGAGTACATATAACTGACTGTAGTATTGTTGGCTGCTAGATCGACTATTGTACTTACGGTTGTTTCTTACCTAAATATGTTATAGATAAATGATATAGTTTAAATTGTATTTAGGTCTTACTATTATATTTTAGTGCATAATTAAAAGGTTTAAACCTTTTTTAAATACACACCATACTTTGCATCCATTCTCAAGGTTAATGATATTATGCGCTGAACAAAACTTTTGCCGAAGCATTGTGCATGTCTCCCAAAGAAACTCTAATATGCCTTGAGGGCACCGTTGACTTGTATCGAGATGAATAATAAGTGGAAAAGGACAAGAACGAGAAAAATAACCATTAAAAATTAACTATCTGTGAAAAGGAAAAGACTGGAAATTATGAATATAAGCAAAACAACATATGTAATTAGAATAATGTCATTCTTTGTGTACAAAATACCTATAAACTTTAACAGACTTACGAGGTTTTGTGAGGAACACACAGAAAACTGTATTTTTGTTGCATAAATGTCCTTCCCTAGTTGAGAAGATGGTAATTTCATCCACCCATGTTTAAAGGGTTAAACATTGTTTTATGTACATAAAGTAATCATTTTATCTTCTTCTAGAATTATTTTTTGTTTCTGCACTATATACCTACTATTTTTATTAGCCAAGGCATGGTGGCTCATAGAATGGCTCTGAGTGTTGTTTTTTCAATTACAAACTTTTAACTCATAGGTCCTCCATCTTTTGATCGACTTGAGATCTAATTACAGCCTCAGCTGTTGAGAATTCCCTCTTGTTGTACAAAGCAGTAACCTAATTCTGTTGATAAATTTTAATTTTGTTCTGCACCAAGAGTTATATTCAGGTTTAGTCTATTATCACTTGTCAAATGTTACAAATATGGTTTTAGTCCTAACTTTTTACTTAATTACGGTTAAAATATTTAGTAAATATTTTTTGAGATTTTAAATGTCATTAAGTTTGTTTAATAGCCTTTTTTTTATTTCAGTTGTAGTTAAATTTGAGATCTCTCTATGTTTTAGCTTTGTTCAGGTTTTTGTCAGTGTGAATGGTCTTCAGTTCTTTGTTCAGAGTGGTAACTTGTTTTCCAGAAGCTTAGTGATATTGATAAACTAGCAAAGACCTGAAAAACTTGTAATCAAATTATTATCTTTATCACAAGAGTGCTTCTTTAAGTACAGGATTTGTAGAATATTACAAAAGCATTCTAATTACAGACACCAAAATCTATAAGTCCACTTGTTTTAGGTGTAACATCAGTTAAGCCTTTATTAAGTATGGCCTACATTTGATAAAGAGATAAATTAACATTATAACTTTAGTTTAGTTAGGGCTAAACCCTTTTGTATATTTACATCTGCCTTTCGTCTACATAGTAAGGAGTGTGCACATTTTCAAGACATACAAAAACAGAGTATTATAATAATAGATACTCATTGTTGGTCATAAATGTAGCTTAATTGTTTTTCTGCTAATTCTTTCACTACTGATGGTTCCTTTTAGGTGAATAAACGTTTTTGGTGGTTAGGAGAAAGAAAAAATTTTAACTGCCTTCCTTGAATTTCAAATACTGTTAAATTATTACTTTTGAACAAATAATATTTCTACAAGGAAAATCCAGTTAAGAACTCAAGTGAAAAGATTAGTCTACCTTATTTCATTCAAACCACCTTTTATTTTTTTTGGTAATGCCCAATTTCAGTTTAACACTTTAAACTTTTATCATTGGTACTTGCAGGTGTTAATATTAATGATAATCATGTTTTATTCTGATACTTAGTCTAATATTTACCTTTAGTTAATTGTTAGTTATTTTTGTTTTTCAGAGTAATACTTATTTTCTAATTTTTCTTCTTTTTTTTTGTCAAGGAGAAAATTAACTATTACCTACATAACTGAATAATCTTGGTACTATTTTTTAGAAATGATGCTGATGCCATTCTAGAAAGAGCCAAAGATGTCCAGAAAGCAGTTGAAGAAGCTAAAAAGTTTCAGGACCAAGCAAGTACAGCTATCAGCACATCTAAGGAGGACATTGCAACTGCAGAAAAAGATCTTGCAGAGGTACTGCTGTTTTAAGGAAGTATTGAAATTATAAATATATTAGGTCATTGACATTAATAAAAAGGGCCAGAGTCAAATCTCCATAGTGTTTAATACTGTGTGTTATTGGAGTATGGGGATTAATACAGATTAATTAGTGTAAAAATAAACTACCACATTGTTTTCAATATTTTTTAACCGATTAAACTAGTTTTGGGGAATGGAACTCGTTAATAGGAGTATATGCTGCTTCAAATTATTTTGTGCTGAATTTGGGATGACATAATTAAAAGATAGTAATGACTATCATTGCTTCAACACCTCATAGCTATGGCAAATAAAATAAGGTGATTATTCTTGAATACTTGTGTTTTTACAATTTAAGTCTTCCAAAAATTTCAAAAAAGGAAATTACTCTAATTATATGTGATAAAAATATCATTATAATATTACTATGAACATAAATTAGTTTGTAGAATTTTACATGTAACCAAGATATGAATTTTTACTCTTATTAAAAACTTAGTGTCTAAACGATGATACATATGTTTTAAATAATTCTTGCAGTTGTTTGGTTTGTGTAAATGAAGTGAAGATTAATACTGTGAACATATTACTTTCTTTATTTTCAGATTGAGAATCAAACTCAAGAAACTAAGATTATAACTGAAAATTCACTTAAGGAAGTTGACACTATGAAAGACCAATATGATGAACTCCACAAAAAATATTTAAAAAATCAACGTTCTCTGCAAAAAGCTGTACAGGAGACAATAAATGCTACAGACTTAGCCAAAAAAGCAGACAGTGTGAGTCATAAAATACATAATTATTAGGTTTTGGATCAATGAAAAAAAATCTTAAAAATAAAATTTACACAATAAATGTTTTAAAATTGTGATGATTATCAGTGCTTTGTATTATTTATAAAATAAGCAAAAGCTAACTTGGCTGAACCCCAAACACCTTAACTAAATCTTTGTACTTCATGAAAACCTACTTCTATTTACAGTAACAAGTAAATGCTCTTATTTGAAAGAAGTGAGCATAATCTTATGAACAGATCTTGTGTTATTTAGTTTATTTCAAAACAGATCACAAATAGCATGTTGTGTAACACTGTGCTTAACAACAAACGAATTAATATTCACAAATCGAAACATTGCAATTTTTACTAAAATTTTTAAAACTTTGGTTAACAAAACAAAATCTTCTTTCTTCACTCAGTTATTGTTTATAAACTGTCCAAGTCACCATATACTTGTTTATTTTACATAGCTTGTGGCATGAAGATTGGATGATCCCTGATCCATTATCATTATATGTGATCTTCTTACTAGTGTAATTTGCTTCAGGTACATGGTTGAATGAATCCGTTAGTACTACTAATCCTGGTGATACATTAGAAATAATCGTGACAGGAACCTCAAGTGTTTCTAAAGATTGATTTAGTTTTGGTGAATTCCTCTATGCAGATACCAATTTGACCATTTTTTCTTTATCAACATACTTCCAAAGGCAATCACTATGGGTGACCTTTGACTTTTACCTCCTATCTTAGTGGATTCTGCTATGTGGTACTTTAGGTTCATTGTCTTTATCATCTTGTACTTCTGTTCTTGTTGTCATTGAAAGTTCAAGCTGTATTGCTGTAATTGTTGAGTAAAGCACAGGAAATTTTTTGTCAAAGACTATGAAGTTATTTGACATGTGTGTTTCTTAATGAAGTCAATTGCCAATATGCACTCTTTCTCAATTTCAATTATCCACGCATCATATTGCATAAAAATGCTTCCCATGATGAGGGTGATTTCCAACTTTCCTCTTGCAGGAATTCTCTGACCACTCACTGTTTTTGTCAATTTCATCCTCTTGCTTCATATCTCAAGGAAATTACTCGTTTTTTTTACTAGATTCAAATCAAAAAACAGTAGCTGTAGAACCAGTATCAATCAATATGATGTAAGGCTTCCCATTAATGAACCTATTGACTCATGGAATGGTTTCTTTATAAGGATAAATTAAGAGAAATGTGAAAAAAATCTGCAGTTAGCATATTTGAGTGCAGTATTTAATCCAAAAAACTTAAAATGATTGTGAATTTGTATATCATGTTTAATCAGCAATTCTCAATAAAATAATGCATAAAGCTACAGTTGGTAAAGAACAGCAGATGTTCTGTCTATATTAAAATGTTTTAATTTAACTTTAGCCTCTCTATTAAACATAAAATGTATAGCTATTGAAATGTAATCTGTTATACTTTCCTTAACTAAAGACCAATTGTCAATATTTGCCGAGTTGAGATGGGTGAAGTTAGAATTGACTTTATTTTTTAAGAAGTTATATAATTTATAACTTACTAAATTAGGATGGAAGGTGCAATGTGTGCTTTAGTAAACATTTAAACTATTTGTAATGTTCTTTACAAGAAAAAAACAAGTTTACAATCTACATTAACCATAAATTATACAAACCACACAATCCGTTCATTGTAGAAGTTTTTGGACTAGTATGAATACTGTGTTAGACAGCCATTTTCTTATGGTGCTTGTTCTTAATCATAGGATGCTCAGCTGCTAGAGGAGAACTATAACAAAACAAAGGATCTTCTGGATGAGAAAGCTTTAGAAAGTGACAAGATAAAAGCTCGTACAGAAGAACTTAAGAAAAAAGCTAAAGAATTAGCTGAGCTAGCAACTAAAAAATACCAGGATTTAAGAAGTAGGAAGTTCTAATGTTTATTGAAATTTAATTGTAAGAAACTTAATGTTAAGTGAAACAATATAAAAGGGTAATGTTGAGTGATACTGAGTCAGAGATTTAATATTTTGTTAAACTAAGGAATAAGCAATCTGAACATTTAGTGAAACTAAGGAATTTGAGTGTTTTGCGAGACTAAAGAGTAAGCAATTGATTGTGACCAGGGAATGTGAATCTTTTGTACGACATGAGGAATATAAACAATCTACATATATTGAGAGACTAAGGAACATTAAGTTTCGTAAGACTGAGAAGTAAGAATATTTAGTGAATTAATTTTAGTATAATAGCAGGTAATGACTGATTGTGCTTGATTATTTGTAAAAACTAAGTTTCAGTTTTTTTTATGTAATGTTTTAAATTCATAAGAAGCATTATGGATTAATTCTTTTAGAACTGGAAAGTGACTTTGAGAGGAACAACCAAACTCTGACCAGATATGAAGAGACACTGGATAAACTGCTAAAGGAATCAGAAGAAGCTCTTGCTGTAATCAAAGCACGAAGTCAGAAGTACAGAGAATGTACTTAAAATGCTTTAAATGAAAGAAACGTAGAATCCTCACAGTGTTAAGTTAGGCAAGTCAGGTTTTTGGGGAAATAAAAAGTGAGAAGGAAAGTTATTGTCATATAGCTACACACATTAAATGTTATAAAGTGCCAATTCTAGTGTGTTGTGACTTTTGTAGGCATTGAGTAGAGCAGCTGTAAAATTAAGCTGCTTGTTTTTACCTGGTGTAGAAACTGCTTATCAAACACTGCCATAATACAAACTTAGTAGAAATTTTATCAAAACCTGTTTCTGATAAAAGAGGAGGAACTATGCAGATGTGCATTTATTTTTGTCTTTTTGAAACTACAAGAAGAATTGGTACTAATGCAATGGAGTAGATGGCTTAGAAAAGGAACTTATTCCATTAAAAAAAGCTAGCACGACTTGTTAAATGATGTCAGAGATGCAAAAAAAACTGAATTTATTTATAATTCTGGAAAAACTACTGAAACATTATGCCAATCATTCTTTAGGTCATATTAGTCTATTGTGTTGTTGATCAAAGGAAATAACATTTAAATTAAGTATCAAAGAGAGATCATAATTTGTGCCAACAACTAATATTAAAAAAAAAAAGTACAAAAGTAGTATGCACTTGATCTGTACAATTATTTCACCATTGGCAACTATGTATGTCATTTTCTCTTACCATTTCAGTTATAAAAGAGTTTGAATCGGATCAAATGTCGGCCAGTAATTGTTTATTAAGATGAAAAATTTTACTTTGCACATACTGGCAATAAAATCTGATAACCAAATCTTATTCCTCTTTAATGTTTTTTTTTTTATCCAATATGTTTTTCAAGTATTATATTAAGTTAGTAAAGTTACATGTAATGCAGAAAGTTATACAAATTTAGTGAAAATGCCTTATAAACACATGACTATGTTTACAGGCATAGAAACTTTACAGCCTTTCATTTATATTTTGTAGTGTTTAATTTTGAAGTAGTACTTTAATTTCAAAAAAAAAAATGCTTTGCATATGGTTTGAAATTATTAGTGAACTTTACTTGGAACTTGAAATATTTAAACTGTTGAAAACAGCTATATTTATATTGTATTGTTACTTAAGTTTAAGGGTTTTCTTTATGTACGTAAGTGTAATTAAAATCAAATTGTAAAAGTACAATATGGCCATCATGCAGCTGATTTATAGAACATATTAAACAATGTACCAAGTAGCTACTAAAAGCTTCTGTGTTTCTACACGATGAAGTATCACAGAATTGAAAAAACACTAGGGTTAACAGGTTTAAGGCATATTAAAAATGATAAAAGAAGAAAACAAAAATACAAGTTTTTACCTCAAACAATAAAATTAATAGAAACAAGATGCATGACGAAAATATATGTTGGATAAAACAAAAGTACGTAAGAAATATAATACAAAAAAGTCCATTTTGGGTACACTAGGAAATAGAACATTTTCTTTTGAACTTTGTTTATAATGATTTATCAGATTTAGTAATAAATATGTTTTCAAAATTGATATATTCCACAATGTACAAAATTTTTTGATGAAAAGAATAACTTTTCCTTGTTTTATAGATATAAAACTTCTGAAATGAAAACACGTTTCACTTAATTTATTAGTTCAGAACAACTACAAGAAGATTGTGATGAATGTTAGTCACTTCCTTAAAATATAGCTTTTGCCACTTTCTCTCTTCTATTTGTAAACTTCTCATTATTATTATTAGATGCAAGGAATAATATTAGTTAGTTCCTTAAGATATAATTTTTAGTACTTTTCTTATAAACTTAATAATAATGTGACAAGATATGTTGTTTCCAGTAACAAATTTAAAAATGGAGTTGGTAGGTAGGGCTGTTTTTTTTTTAATATACAAAATTACTTTAAATTTCAAGATTCCAAAACTTGAATGAGCACAGAAAATCAGAATTGGGTTTCATGAAACTTTTTCTTGTGTGTGGACTGAGTGAACTCAATCTCCAATATAATTTTTCTCCAAGAGTCATTCAGCAATTGCTACTTTATCTCGCTAAATATTTATTATCATGACATCACCAAAACAAGACATATTGACTGAAAAAAAAAAAGATTATTACTAAAGTTCTTTAATGCATGTCCACCTTTCAAAAGTAATATAAAACAGCCCTATTAGTTGTTACTGTGTGCTTTATCTGTACTTAAAAGTGCAGATAATTCTAGATTACCTTGATTGTAGTTGTATATAGATATTTTAATTTTCTAAATTAATAATCACATTCAAACAAATTTCTTTACAGACTTTTATTAAATAATGCGTGTGTTGTTGTTATGTTATTTTGTACAGGAAATGTATCCACGAAAACAAGAACATATTTAATCTAATACATCGTTAAAAGGATCACCAAGTTTTGTTTGAACTTACTTTTCAATGTCGATTACATACCATTTTTAGTTTCAGTTTTTTTGCATTTAAAAGTAAATTATATTCCTATTAATTTGCATGTCAATTCAAATACTGTAGGTTAATATATTTGTAGGAGTATTATAATTTTATCAGGTTTAAAAAATAACTTTCACAAAAACTGCTACTTTTAATATTCTGAAGTTAATAAAATCTGTAGAAATTGACCATACAATTAAATATGTTACTTGATCAATCACTTTAGATTCAAATAACAGAATAAATGCTTTATTTATAAAGCTTAAAACTTGCCTATTGAGAAAAATAAACCATCCTGTATGTACAAACAGAAATTATATAATTGTTTCTTCCCAATGTTTTTCTTTTTCAAACTATTTATCAATTTTTACATCTAAACTCATCTCTTGTTTAATAGGAATATTTTGTCTTCTGTTTCATGTTTTAAAGTAAGGTTGTTATATGGCTTTAGGTATTAATGTTGCTTTGTAAGCAAGTCTGTGTACAGGAAACATTAACTGCATATTTTCTATTCAAATAGTTTGTTAATACTTACAAAATAAATATGGTGCCACCTAATAAACAGATGTTCACTTTAGGTACACAAGAAAGATTTTCCCTTTTTTTCTGTCTGCAAGACAAATTACAATATGGGCCATCAAAATAGTATCACCAAATTTTTAAGACTGGTGGACACTTGATGGCTACCTACAGAAATTAAATTTCAATATAAAAAGATTTTCAACAGTAACACAAGTTTCTGTATCTGTCAAGTTTCAGTAAGTTTTAAAGAATTCCTCCTGCCTTTGCATATATTAGAAACAAACAAAAACCAAATCAACATACAACCAAAAATGCTACTCCTTCAAATATCTTTAAAAAAATGGTACCTTAACTTCAGTGAATTAGTCTTGTGATGAAATAACAAATTAAATTATAATATTACATAATCTTAGTGCTATTACAATATTTCACATTTAAATTACACTACATATTTTATCAGCTTGCTGTCTTAGAAGTAGCATTGATAAAGGTTTTTGGCTTTTCTTGGATACAAGATATTTAACTGCATTATTTTGTAAATGAAAAGATAAAGTTCTTGAAACTATTTATGTAACTTGACAACTAAGTTTTATTTGGGTGAAAGTTCTTTTATAGCATCAAATGAAAGAAGAGCAATTTTCTGAAGTGTTTAAAAAACCAAAGATAGAGATGTTGTATACTTTACAATTAGCTGTTCTTTCAAAACTCGCCATACTTAAATTGTGTAGTGTTTGATTTAATGTTAAGCAAAACATTCTGGAAATGTACTTCAATATATAATAAAATATTAATTCAGAAGCTATCTTGTTATTCTTTCACACTATAAAAATTTTACAACAAAAATGCTGTAAACTTATCATTTTAACGTTTTGTTCACGTTAAGTTTGTAGCTATGATATATCTTACAATGAAACAAACTTCACTATTTAAGGAGCTTCTAAAATTGTTAACTACAAATTCATCACTTCAGGAGTACATTAAGATTTAAGTAGCTAAATTATCTATTTAGGTAAAAAAGCTCCTTACCTATAACTGACATGAGCCAAATCACCATGCTGTTGAGTTGGCATTGAACAACTGGCAACAAATCAAAATGTCTCCTGCTAAACAATGTGCCATCAGCCTTAGAAATGTCTAAGTTGGGAAGATGTTTGTTTGGTTGATTATTCAAAATAAAAGCTTTCCTATATCCTTTTTTAATACTAAGTACAACTGGAGTTACTCAAGTTACACCATAGTATGACCAAATTTGCAGTAGTTTCCAGGTTATGATGGAATAAACCATTTTCTCACATGTTGCAGATAGATATGGTAAGGTGGCTAAGTGTGATACCTGCCTGAACATATCTTTTATTTGTGCAAGGGTAACACACTCCATACAACCCTCTTGCATTCTGCAACTTCGTAGCCAAAAACTCTTTTGGCAATAAAGAGGATTTTTGAAGTTAACAGATAGACCCATGTACTGAAATTCATCTTGAAATTATTACTCACTATACATAACATTGAGTGCATCAACTAACCAGTATTAATACAACATGCTACATAACAAATATTAATTTTTCATATTAACTATCTAAATATAGCTGGGTCAAAGTGTACATCACAACCTTTTGTTATATTCAAAATTAACACACATCAATAAACTTGGCTTCAAGTTTATAATACAAATGTTATTGTATTTTGGTTTTATTCATTTTATTTAATATCTATGGGATTTTTGAATAAAGGCTACTCTGGCATGCTGACCAAAACTGTGCTGATGAGCCTTGAATGGGCAAAACTAGTCTATAGCACAGGGTACAGCCAATCAAGAGTTCAATTTAGATTTATTACTTAGTACATCTATAGTGCCCAAACAAGTGGTGTAGAAACCACCAGAATTGGTCCGTCGAGCAGTGGAAAAAATGTGATTTTCTCTGACAAATCATCATTTACCTTAGTTCTGACCTCCGGCCGAGTGTATGTTTGGAGACAGCCGAAAGAAGCCTTTAATCCAGACTGCCTTCTCCCAACCGTAAAACATGGCGGGGGTTCTGTGATGATCTGGGGTGCTAGGCCAATGATTTCCCTTCATGGAAGAATTAACAGCTGAGACTATTTAAGAATTTTGGGCGACCAAGTTCATCCTATGGTTCAAGCACTGTTTCCGGAGGGGAACGCCATCTTTCAAGATAATGCCCCAAGCCATACAGCTAGAATTGTTAAAGAATGGCACAAGGAACATTCTAATGAAGTTAAGCATCTCATCTGGCCACCACAATCCCCAGACCTCAACATTATTGAGCATTTATGGTCGATTTCCACCGCCATAGAACTGGTGGGTGTTTTAACTGAAGAATGGGCTAAAATTCCTTTGGAAACAATTCACAATTTGTATGAATCAATACCTCGGAGAATTGCCTCAAAAGGTGGACCTACACCATATTAAAATACATTTTGTTGATTTTCCAAGGTGTTTCCATTATTTTTGTCCAACCCCTGTATATCATCATCATACATGGAGTGGTATCTTTCAGTAATATGTCACAAGTACTTACGATTTTTTGTATGTATTAGTTCTACCTGCTTCTTACACAGAATAATAATTTCTTGCATTATTTTTAGTTCCCTGGATATCAAGAGTAAAGAGATAGACTGAAGTATCTCCCCACTAACATTTGGATATCACATAAAGCATAATGTGCTTTTTTTCTTTTTTTTTATCTCACGTTAGTAAATTTCCATGGTGTATTTCTTACTTTTGATGATAAACATGTAAATCAGCTTCGTTAGTTGTATGTCATAGGAATTGATTTTTTTACCATATTTTGTGATTTTGCTTTTGTCCATACACATACAAATAAAATGTACATTTGTTAAATGTATTCTTAAAGTCAAAGCTCAATAATTCAAATGTATCATGTCAACTGAATATTAACAGCATATTAATTTTCTTACATAGAAGATATTTCAGTGCTTAGAAAAATGTCTTTAGAGGAAGCACTGAAATTGTTTTTCGCTTCCTCCTCTTAAGATTCTTTGAGTCTGAAGAAGCCACAACAAATAAAAATGGAGAGAATAGCAAAAACCAGCTTTGCTTGAGGAACCTGACTTAATTTGAGGGAAGAAGACTCCTCATGACCACCAACAATCTGCGGTTAGTGATCTTCCCATGACCAGCACATCAACTTCCAAAATGGCCAGAAGCAAGAAGACAAGGAAAGCCCCTGGAATGGAAAGTTCACAAAGATGAGCAGCCCAGATTGTTGGGGGACTTCATCGGAGGAAAGCCTGTTTCCCCATCAGGCAAGTAGGTGTCAAGACATCTCTTGATTTTTGTCAATTTTTTTTTCTCGGTATTGTTACCAAAATTGCTGAAGAAACAAAACAGATTTGCACCTTAGCAAGGGGAACACCTAAACAATGATGTCAGGAAGAAAAGGAAACCGCTGAAGTATAGTGATGTTACACCTAAAGAAATTAGCTTTTATTGGTTTAACTATTTCCAAGATTATAACTCGCTTACCATCTATTACAGATTACTGGTCTACCATTCCTTCACTTCATTTTCACTGGTTTTCTTAAGTATTTTCCAGAGAAAAATTCCTAACTATTGCTCACTTCTTTCATTTCAATGACAATACTAATAATTACCTAAAACTGATCCTAAGCATGATAAACTCAAAGTCAGACCCATGCTTGATCTACTAACAGCTCACTATAACCCTTTTAGGGAACTTTATTGATGAGCAAATGTTGGGAACAAAGGGCATAATTTCTTTTAAGCAATATCTACCTAGCAAGCCTACCAAGTGGGGGAATCAAGCTTTGGGTTCTGGCAGAAGCCGTGACTGGATACTGTTTAAATTTTAGAATATACTACAGTAAAGAGGGATCTGTACCTTCCAAGGGTTTAGCTAGCACAGTTGTAATGACTGACGAAAAAGTACCTGGGAAGGGGACACTTTTTACTGATAACTGTTTGATAAGTTGTTTTTGCTTGGTACTTATGCTTGTGGCTCTTTTAGGAAGGATAGGGTCCACTTCACAGACATGTTTTCAAGGGAGTTAAAAATGGGAGAGTCAGTTTTGTCAATTGGGGCTCAATGACTGCTGTAAAGTGGACTGATAAGAGGAATGTTTATGCTCTTTCTACAATGCATAATGCTACAGTAAAGGAAGTGACAAGAAGATAGGGTAACATGATTAGCAAGCCACAGCTAATCTTGGATTACAACAAGTTTATGATCTTAATGATCAATTTCTTAGCTATTATTCCATTCCACATAAAACTGTCAAATAGTATAAGAAGCTTTTCTTTACATCTGACATTGCTATTATTTCTCTTCGAACAGGTAATTAAAAATAGCAAGCACAAACAGAATGACTTCCATTTACAATTACTGGAGTCTCTCGTGAAACCTATAATTGAAAGTAGAGAAACCTTGTTTGTCAAGTTTCCATTCACCAGTTCTGGCAGATGCACAGAAACAGCTCCCACCTGGGAAGCATTTTCCAGCATTTGCTGAAGAGAAAAAAAGGTGCAGATTGTGCCTCCACATAGGTTTAAGTTGACTTGTAAACAGTGAAAGGTTCATCTCTGTGTATGGCACTTTGAAGACTCTTCAAAGAAGTTTACTTTTCTTTCTACCAAATCTAGCCAACATTATGATTAGAAAGAAAAGTAAAACTCAATCCAATTCTTTTTTGTTTTTATTTCTTTCTTTCGCTTTTCTAAAATTTCTATAGTAGAGGTTTAGTGTTTACAACACTTTGCCTTTTTTGTAAACCATCACTCAGCATTTGCAATTGGGTATTTCCATTCATTTTAAATACAATTGTATTTGTGAATAAAGGTTCTAAAACTCGTTGCACATGTTAGCCATAAAAATATTTCAACAAAGATTTTTGCAAGAGCACACATTTGTCTATATTGAACTGTATTTATTATACATTTGTGCTCAGTTTCTTACTTATCATATTGTGTTTGTTTCTGCTTAAGAATTGTGTATAAAATTAATATTTCACTGAACAATGTACAACTTGGGTTATTCATCTTCAGACAGTTATTTGGCAAGTGTTTAGCTTATTTTTGCATTTGTATAAACATGTATAAAGTCCTCAGTGTACATATCAATAGTGAACAAATATACAGTTGTATGTTCTTGATATATAAACTGATGTGATAATATCTCAGTGTAGCTTTTACTATGTTTTTATTTTTGCATCTAAATATGATTTGAATACAACTATGTATACCTCTCAGTACACAACTAACAAATTTAGTATTGTTTATCTATACACTGATGTATGCATGTTATCTTTATTTGTAAATTTTGTACAAACTTGTGTAATTCAACTTTATATATCAGTTGGTATGTTTTAATTATAAAATAACAGAAGTGTGGGTCTTACTAAGTAATGATAGTAAGAAAACAATTCTTATGATAATGATAAACTATCAAAGTGGTACTAGTAGTATGTGCAAATCAGTTATTCTAAATACTAAATCATTTTTTTATTTTTTATTATGAACTAAATATAAAATTATGATAAATTATTGAACTTAAAACTGCAAATTTAAATGCAAAATATAAAAATCACAAACTCCTTCAGTTCAAAGCACTAAGCCTAATCCACATAAAGACCTTGCACTCGCCACTCAATAGATCTTAACATTCTTGGATCAACTTTTCCCAAAATACATCTATTTTGAGTTAATTTTTCAATATAATAATTAATATAAATAGATATACAATACAGCATGACTTAAGCTACTATAAAAAGATATGTCATACATCCCATGCAGTTTTTTCCAGATGCAAGTTGCGGCTTATAGAAAAGTACTATTGATGTACTAAATACAACCTCTACATAAAACGGCAGTTACTATAATAAGCACCATCAGTTCAGTCACAATATCGTCTGCAAGCCCTCTTGTTGGCATTTATCCTACTTTACACTTAAGTTCAGTATTGTTGCAAGTAACAGACTTCTCCTGCTGTGAAGGTATAATCATAGTAAGATTGCAGATCTACCCCTACTTCTTTATAGTGGTGGTGTAGTTGTATGATGTAACTGTCCTGTGTGGTTAAAGAACATCTGATGGTCTCACGAGCTACACCCTTGTCTGGTCATAAAACAGATTCAAGCTTTTAAGGCCTTCTGGGATTGTAGACAGTTTCTAACAAGCATTGAAACAGAAGAATCAACTTCAGATTTCTCTAATAGAATTCCTTCCTCGTAAAGTGAGAAGACATTTGTAACAATCCCGTACTCTTCCTCTTGGGAAAATAGTTCATTTGGGCCCCATAGCTTTGTTGAAATACCATTCTAGAAGAGAATTTCAGAAACGGTACACGTTATGCTAAAATACAAACAGCCACACAGGGTTTTAATTACAAACTACATACTAAAACTATTGAACAAAATCCATATTATATATAATGATTGTGGTGAGGGTGAATGACAAACTTTAATAAACAAAAGTTACAAAATGTATTACATATACTCAGTGTACCCCCTAGATTTCAGAAACAGTATACCAAAGTAGTCATACTAATTTTGATTAACTTTGTACTAAAACTACTGAGCAGAAATTACTTGTATATTGTACACAGTGGTTATTTGTAGATACACACAGATGTGATAAAAGATTAAGTATGCAATACTTCTCAGATTTATTCTAGGCTTCCTGTTCCATGTTAGAAACACATAGCATCTTCATAATGTAATATTGTAACTAGTATTACAATAAAACATCATACTTAAAATCCCTTAAAACTTATACTAACATGTAAATAACCTTGTAATAAAAATGTGCTTCATTACTTGTACACTATCAGTCTATAAATTTCCGTTAACATATTCCAGAGTCATTTAGAACTACCAAGTATAAAATTCACAAATCCAATGATATACACACACTATGAAGCTAGTCTTAAAACTACTTCCACTTGCCCTCATCTCTCATAATCTTCCATCTCAGGGCACCTTCCTTGACCAGCAATCTCAAAAGAACAGTTAAGAAACATTGGATGAGAGAAAAAGTATGGATAAAAGAGCAAGAAGAAATTGGAAGGAATATAAGGATGAGAAAGCTGGTGTACAAGGACTGCCCTCTGGGTTTATTTCTAATCATTGGGCAAACAATCTCACAAGATTCTCATACTTTTAAAATGTTACCTATTTCATCTTCTCAGGCAACACAGCTTCAAGTCCCGCAGATGATTCTGTAAGATAAAAAAAGTGTTTAATCTAACAGAAATTCTAAAAACCTCTAAGTGAAAGCAAACAAGAATGTTGTCTTATGAGACTTAAGACCAATACCAGGGCTCAACCAAGCTGGCTGAGATACATAGTGGTGTTAAGACAATTTATGGAGAGAGAGAGAGAAAGAAAAGAGCAAGACAAAATACTATACAATCAATTCTTAAAATATAGTAATATTACTTTTCAATAAAAGCAAAACAAAATCAACCTGGTAATTAGTACAGCTAATTGTACAAATTATTAAGGATTAGAATGCATTGTTACCTAAATTGCTATCATTTCTAAACAGTAATTCACCCATTCAGACCGTTTAATGTCATTTAACCCCTATGCACAAGTTAATCTGACTTTGGCATAAATATTGCTATGAAATGTAACTTCATAGCTTCCAATCTTCTTGCTTTACTTGGGTATCAACTAATACAAAGCCTGTCTTTCAAGTAATTTCAATTTCTACTGGATTATTAATAACCAAAACAAATTCCTTATAAAAGTAGCTTGTTCTGACAATAGTTTAAATTATATGGCCTAAACTTATTGTTCTCTTATCCAGACAAGAGATCAGGCAATGGGATTACAACCCACTTGCAAGATGAGCAAGTGAAAGAGTTTGTGCAAGTACCATGTTTTTTTTTTTATGTATATTTATCATAATAAAAGAATTTAAAGGTTAAGTAAAATTTAATCGAAAGTATAAAATTTTTCTGCAAGCTGCCCATGCATTATGTAATTCAATACTTTATTTACTATAAACAAACTATGCTCTCATTAAATGAAGTGCTACTTTGCTATGCTTGGTTAGAACGAGAGAATTAAATTAAATTCAAAGCATTCATGAAAAGGTTAAGACTTAAAATTGGTAGGATGAATAACTAGTTGTGTTACAAAATGTACTTTTATTTCAAATTTTCATTTGTTACAATACAGTTTATGTTAAGGTAGA